TACTAGGAACAGGAAGTCGAGCTAGACCTGTCACGATCACATTGACAACGGAGGAGAAGTTGGTAGAAGAAGTAAGCTTAATCGTTGGAGGATGAGATGCAATAGGCTGAACTGTATATCGTCTTTCGATTACAGTTGCGACCAGATTCCAGAAGCGAAATCATGGGTCTGCTTGAGCTCTGCAACGCGGCTATTGCGAGAAACATTGGACATGATGACAACAACCCCAAAGAAGGCCGTTTCAACAAAGAGACGACGGTTTATGGCTGGCAAACAGGCGGACGACATCCACTTCAGACCGGGGTTTTCCTCAAGTCCCGATACGCGCCTTTCTGGTGTGCGCTCAGCGTCGTTTCCAGATTGAGCATTGGTCATGAGGTCTTTTGGGATATGTTCCGTAAGTCAACGCTTGCGGCCGAGTCTGTAAGAAATGTAGTAACCCGACTCCTGGCCATCATTACATTATTAGTGGTAATTGCAGGTGCCATCTCGATACTTGCAAAGCATCTCGTCGCGATCGCCGCGTCGTACGAAAACATCGGACACGATCTCGCGAAACCACTCACCGACGACGATGCGGATCAGACGTTGGCCGCAAGTTTCTCTCAACAGCGAGCTCCCAGCAACAACTGTGCTCTCCCTCCGTCGTCATCTTCAGAACGTAATAGCAACGACAACATCGATCCAAACGTGGCAGACCTCAACGCGAGAATCAGAGAACGGCTGGAAGCCGAAACGGCTAGGGATATGTCGCGAACAGCGAAACGACTTGCCACTCGTGCTCGTCTTCTCGGTTCCAGTGAGACTGAACAGGAACGGTACCAACGTAGACTCTGCAAATCCGCCGATTCGAATGGGGTGCATCATGCTAGACAAGGAGAATGGACGCAGTCAGACTCTCAGATGCTGGAAAAATTGGTCAAGGTGTTTGAAGTGAAATTTGGGGTTCAAGTCGAGCTAAAAGATAAAGCCTGAAGGCAGCCCATCGATGTGCAGTTGGTTTCAACGGCTTCGATATAGGTCGCATCAGATGTGGCATTCGTGGACGAAGAGTATCCAGAAGTCCGCAACTTCGTTATTCACCTTCAGAAAGATACATAGCTGTCGTATTACTGTTGAGACTGTGAATGTAATAAATCGATTGTACATGTAGCCCCATGTCCTTGCAACAAGCCCGACGCGTACCCCACGCAGTCTTTACAGTCTCTACTTATACATATGTAATTGCAACTCTGCTATGCTGCTGTGACGCGCCTGCATGTTCACAAGGGGCGTACTCATGTCAAGCGAACGTCTGAATGCTCTCGGTCAGATGCAGACCACCCTCGGGACTTCCTCAACACAGTACCTAATCAAAGCCCCTTTCTATCCTCCCGACTTAAACGACGAGTCTCTCCTTCACAGATGATCTTCGCCGTTGCGCGACATACTCCCGGGCTTCCTTACACCCTTCACTTGAGCGGAACGGAAGCGCTTCGTGGCAACACGCATATCGCTACACAGATAAGATATATCTTGATGCGGGAGAGCACAATTCAAGCACGAGAAGTGATGTAGGTGCAAGAATTCGAAGGGGACATCGCGCTCTGTTTGAGAGCCAGGCCATAGGAATATCAGTCGTATTCTCTGGATGACCTTGTGATGGTGATGTAATTGACGACATTAGAAATTGTCGTGCTATATCTGAAGACTGGTGTAACAACTGCAGCATTTCCAAAGAAACAGTGTCAAATATTGTAATTGCGATTGAGATGCATCATGTCGAGAGGCGTTGATAAGCCGACCCCGGTGGCTATATGCCATCTCTTAGCCAGCGCAGCAACCCACTTGTGCCTGTACAGTCAAGGACCTTTCAGTGAGCAAGTGTGCTGGAAGATCGGTTAAACATACAGAGATCACTCACCTTCCTTTTCCCATATTCTCCGCGGCGGTACCCGGAATGCATTGTTCTCCACTAGAATTGCCGCAGTGGCAACGACCCCAATATGGGTTCGAGCTATGAGTCCTTCATGTGTCAGCGATACGTTGTGTCAAATCGAGCCGTACAATACCTACCTTTTCCACTGAATTATCCCGGATATCAACTTCTTCCAGCCTTAGGCTGCCTTTCCATGTGCCTTGACGCAATTCTGTAGCGACATTAACCAGTGAAGAAATTTGTGTGATACGACATCCTTTTGTTAATAGTCGTTTCAATCCGTTCGCAATCATACTGTCTACGCCGTTGAGATGCTCCATCCTGGAGCCACTGAGGTTTAGTGTCTCCAAGTGTGGCATCGCCGTCGATATACGTTCAAGGATTGCATCGTCGGTTGTGAGCGACGTATCTGTGATGCTTAACGTGATCACATTTGCAAATCGGCCGTCCGTGTCGGGTATCATCAAGGTTTTGAGTTTCAAGATTCCCGACAGTTCGATGGTCTTCAAAGAGGCTGTTGCAGGCACGGCATCCAAAACGCGCTGCAGATCAAATCCGCCTGCCTCGTCCAAGAATCCCGTCGGCGTGTGCCGAGTGATGACAATGCTCTGCTGACGCTCGTCCCAACAATCTATCAACGGTCCAGTAGGCTGTCCGTTGGCGCTGCCAGGTAGTGATATTGAAGCGGACGCTGACCTGCTGTTCGAATGAAGCCTTTCCTGCAAAAAGATGGGGAAGACTGGGCGATCACACCTGGATGCAGTTTTTTGGCTGTAAAACACCGGATCGGGTTCTCCTCCAGAATCTGTAAATAGGCGTCATATCAGGGCCGAGTTCCACCTCTTCCAGCAAATGACTTACAATCTGTACTGTTCCACTACTCTGCATTCCCGAAGTGGTATAAGGTCGATCAAGTCTCAACGAGTCGACAAGTGAGTCTTCCGTTCGAATTTCGTTCGCTTTGAAGTTGATCGTTTCCAACGACGGCCATATTGCGGTGTCCTCTCGAGGTTGAACAAGCGCACCCGTCAGACCGTTGTCGCTCAGGATCAGCCGCTTGAGCCGAGGCAGCTTGGCCATTGCCGTCAAATCCAAGATGCCCTGCAACTTGTTTCCGGATAAGTCTATCACCTCGACATTTCGCGGCCACGTCTGCGACAGTCCGACATTCGTGATCTGGTTGCTGGCCAAGGACAGGGTTCGCAGTGACGGCATCACTTCGTCTGTGTCATCGTCCCGGTAATCGGATTTCGTCGGGGTGCTGGGAAAGGAATCGAAAAAGGAAACATCTTTGCGAGACTGTAAGACTTCGCGATTTGGCCTGACGGGATTGTCCCAAGATACCGAGGAGATGCTGTTCCGGGAGAGGTCGACCGTTTGAAGCGAGGGTGAGAGGATCAAACATGCAGGAAAAGAGGCGACGAGGTTGTCTCTGAAGGGTATGCCGTCAGACCAAGTCTTTGGAAGCATTTCACTGGTACTCACGACAAGTCTAGCTGTGCGAGCTCTCTCAAATTGATAACGCTATCCGGTAGTCCCGTCAGTCTGTTCGAATGAAGCTGCAGAGATCCGTCAGCGAAGATCCGACATGCTCTTCTTTACACGACTTACATCCAGATTCTTGAGCGCTCCAACCATTCCGATTTGAGCCTCAATCACGTTTAGCGAATTACTGGACGCCTTGATGATGACCAAATCCTGCACTTCGTAAAACGGCACGTTCATTATCTCGTCTTCCTCCAGCATTCGCCGACGTTCCAGCTCGTGAGGCGGAAGATTCATTTCCTCTAGATCCGCGACATGTTCTTCTACTAGACGAGTCGGCAGAGGCGCAGGCGAAGATTCGTAGTGCGGTAGGTCGTCGCCTGACAAGTTAAGGATCTTTGTCCATACCTCTATCGGCAGCCTTTCCAAAGACATGTTGGCAACGTCTAACCGTCCTGTTGTCAAGGCTTTTCGTATGAGCGCCGGTATGCTTCGTCCAAAAATGTCACCTGAATTGGTCCTTGCTAGTGCAGGCTGACGTCGATCCTCTGTGGATAGATGCGACATCGAGGTTTCTAGGTCGCTGACCAATCGCTGCTTTCCCTGCTTCACGACAACGTTCCCGTTTCTTGGTTCTTCCGATGAGCCAGACGCCGCCAATAACGCCTTTCTCTTTGCTGCTATTTGTTCTCTGATAGAGACGCGGCTTGGTGACTTTGGTGTATTATCTTCAGGTGGAGGTGTCTTTACCGCTGGGCGTAGAGACTTCACTGAAGGGGTTGCTCGGAACGACACAGGCTTTGCGGGACTCTGCGTGCGAGCTACTGGAATAGCATTTCGCAGCCTTGATGGGGTCGACGAGATCGGAATGGTGGCCCTAGTGACAACTTTCGGCCTGGGAGATGGTTCAGAGACTGGTGCATGGAGAAACGCGACCGATGATTTCTTCGACGACGACGACGAAGAGGACGTTGTGGTCCCCGATGGAGCTAAATGAGGATTACTCGGAACAGGTGTTATCGTCCTTTCCTTCGGGTGACGCGGAAGTGACCTAGAGCCAACGGCTCCATCTTGAATTGTTGGACGAACGGCCGTTCTTGACGTCGGCTGTGGTATCCTTGACACTCGAGGTGAAGTAGGCAGAGGGAGACGGCTGGTCGGACGGAAAGGGTCGGAAGATGTCGCCATTTCTCGTCGATGGATGGCACTTTTCGGAAGAGAGATCCACAGAGGTTTTACGAAGAGTCTTGTTGCAGTTCCATCAACGGATATAAGTTGATATCCAGTGTCATCGTAGCTGTGCAGCTATAATCATGCATGTAACATGTTGAAGCATGTTCCATTTATCCCGGAGTTGATTGTTTATTTTGTGAGCCGCCGCGCGATCGGTGCTCCTCCCGAAGAGCCAAACTTACGACATGTCCCCCCTCCAAACTCGAATTCAAGGGCTTCGACGGGAAACGCTGTGCAGGCGACAAAAGTGACTTTTTTCTCTTACGGTTTTGACAGAGGGGTGCTCCGGACCAAGGGCTTCAAGCAGATATCTTCAGCAAAGTCCTAGTACAAAGCACAGTGCGCGAAACGGGCAAAAAGGACGTCCTCTCAGCCCGGATCGAACGGGCGACCTAAGCAGGCGGCAAATTGGCCCGTTGTATACGGGCTCGGAGGATTACAATGCTTCGCTCTTCCAACTGAGCTATGAGAGGTTGTCGTTATAGAGATATCAATCGAATGATCCAGGTTTCTGCGGCGCAGAGCGCGACTGAGCGACTGACTTCTTCTCCGCGTTGATAACACCGGGCGCACCTGGCCGACACGACAACACCCTAGCTCATAGCTCACCCGTTCAATTTCATTCATCATCATTGTCGACATAGTTCAGTACAAGCAAGATCAAAGGCAGACCCGTTTTTGCTATCTTCGAGGTAACCCAACGATATGGTGAGTGCAAGGCTGATCGAGTGAGTCCTGGGCGAGCGCGTGCTGACGCATCGCTTACAACATTCTCTAGCCTATGCTCCTAGACATTACCGTGAGTACGGACAGTTGCAACAAGTCGGACGTAGCTTACCAAGCTTCGATACCCACCTACAGAGAAAGCTCTTGGCACGCTCGGATCGTGTCAAGTCGGTCGACTTTCACCCGACTGAACCGCACGTTATCTGCGGTCTCTAGTACGTCCAGTCTCGGACAGTAGATCATGCAGATCATTGCAGCTACTAACGGCCACCCTCACACAGCAACGGTCAAGTCAAGATCTGGAACTATGAAACACAAACCGATTTGAAGACGTTCGAGGTGACGGATGTACCTGTTCGATGTGTTCGATACATCGCAAGGAAGAACTGGGTACGCTCTCCCAATGCAGGATTTTGATGCGAGACTGACCTCTTGTCCCACAGTTTGTCTCCGGCTCCGACGACTTTCAGCTGCGAGTATACAACATCTCGACCGGAGAGCGTGTCACCTCGTTCGAAGCGCACCCAGATTACATTCGGTGCATGACCGTTCACCCAACATTGAGTCTGGTATTGACGGGCAGTGATGACATGACGATCAAGGCTTGGGATTGGGACAAGGGATGGCGATGCGTCCAGGTATGTTGCTAAAATACTGACAACGAGGACAAATAGCTAAGCGCCTTGTCATCAGATTTTCGAAGGTCACACACACTACATCATGTCGCTTGCTTTCAACCCAAAAGATCCGCAAACGTTCGCTTCTGCCTGTCTCGATCACACGGTCAAGGTCTGGTCGCTAGGATCGTCTGTCGCAAACTACAGCTTGGAGGCGCACGAAAAGGGTGTCAACTATGTCGAATACTACCACGGCGGAGACCGGCCATACATCGTTACCACCGGTGACGACAGGACCGTAAAGATCTGGGACTACCAAAACAAATCATGTGTCCAGACTCTTGAAGGTCATTCAGCAAACGTCTCGTTCGCCATCTTCCATCCTTCCTTGCCAATCATCATTTCCGGTTCCGAAGACGGTACCGTCAAAATCTGGCATTCCTCCACGTACCGATTGGAAACCACGTTGAGCTATGGATTGGAGAGGTGTTGGTGTATCGCATACCGCAAGAGCGGCAACGAGATCGCCATCGGGTATGACGAGGGTGCCGTCGTTGTCAAGGTGAGTAGGATATTACGCATTGTTGCGAATCCTTGCTAACAGCGCCCGTCATCATCAGCTCGGCCGAGAAGAGCCTTCGGTATCCATGGATGTATCCGGCAAGGTCGTTTACGCCAAAAACACGGAAATCCTGACTGCTAATGTCCAAGCTGTTGCCGACGATTCCATCGTGGACGGACAGCGCCTGGCTATCCCCGCACGAGAATTGGGTGCCACTGAAATCTTCCCCCAGAGTTTGCAACATTCTCCCAACGGAAGGTAAGTCTCAGCCTTGTAGAGACAAAAGCGCTCAGACTAACCCATCCCGTCCCTAACCTAGATTCGTAACCGTTTGTGGAGACGGAGAATACATCATTTACACGGCTCTCGCTTGGCGGAATAAGGCTTTCGGTTCCGGCACTTCGTTTGCCTGGGCAACTGACTCCAACACTTACGCCGTCCTCGAGGGCAAATCTAAGATTCGGGCGTTCCGAAGTTTCAAGGAGCGTCCGGGATTGATCAAGGGCGCCTCTGGCCTCATCTTTGACGCCGTCCATGGTGGAGCGTTGTTGGCGGCTCGAGGAAACGGATTCGTCATCTTCTGGGATTGGGAAACGGGAGCGATTGTTCGGAGAATTGAAGTGGATGCTACAGGCGTAAGTTCTGACGTTCAAGTGATCTGATGGTGTACTGACGGTATTCACTCCACTTTCAGGTATCTTGGTCCACCACAGGCAACCTTGTCGCCATTTCCAGCACGGACTCGCTATACCTGCTTCGATTCGATCGCGATGCGTACAATGCCCGTCTCGATTCTGGAATCGAAATCGGCGACGAGGGTGTAGAGGAAGCTTTCGACCTCGTCACTGAACTACCAGAAAAGTAGGCTTCTTCTTCTTCCGCGCCTGTTTTACTACAACTAACCCGACTTGTCTTTTCTTCCATAGCGTCAAGACCACCAAATGGGTGGGTGACTGTTTGATATACACCAACTCTGCCAACCGCCTCAACTACATCGTTGGCGAGCAATCCCACACTATCAACCACTTTGATCAGTAAGTGAAACGATGGCAGAACATAATCATGGATACTTATTCCTCATCTACAGAAACATGTACCTTTTGGGCTACCTTCCTGCGCACAACCGGGTCTACGTAGCAGACAAGGATATGAACATCTTCAGCTTTGCCTTGTCCCTCATTGTTGTCGAATACCAAACCGCTATTCTGCGGGGTGATCTTGACGCCGCCAACGAGATACTGCCTACCGTGCCGCAGGGTGAACGAAATAGGATAGCCCGCTTCTTGGAAAGCCAAGGTGAGAAACGCAGTTGCGAGTATTCCAGTGCGGGATGTTGACAGCTTCTCCTTCTTCCCGCAGACATGAAGGAATTGGCCCTTCAAGTAGCCACAGACCCTGATCAGCAGTTTGATCTGGCTATACAGCTAGATGATCTCGACAAGGCGCTTGAGCTCACACGATCGTCACCGGAAGCTGGATCCGAGGCCAAATGGCGCACTGTCGGCGACAAGGCTCTAGCGGCTTGGAGAATGGACCTTGCTCAGGAATGCTTTGAAAAGGCAAACGATTTACCAACCCTGTTGCTCATCTACAGCTCATTGGGCGACAAAGATGGCATGCAAAAGTTGGCGAAACTTGCTGGTAAGTTCCCAGGTGGAAACACAGAAAAATGCAATAGTCCTGATCACCATGAATCTCGACAGTTGAAAAAGGCCAGAACAATATCGCATTCAACTGCTTCTTCCAGACCGGCGACATCACGTCATGCATCGACGTTCTGATCAAGACCGACCGCGCACCTGAAGCTGCGCTCTTCGCCCGTACATACGCGCCTTCATCTGTTCCCGCGACAGTCAAGACGTGGAAGAGTGCGCTCGGAGTATCCGGCAAACAGAAAATTGCCCAGACTCTGGCGGATCCTGAGGAGGGTGACGAGGAACTGTTCGAAGAAGGGTGGCAAGACGCCCTGGCGCGAGAGCAAAATGGCGGCCAAAGCCCACACCTAGACGGCCAAGAGGGTGCCGAGCCGTATACTGTCAAGGAGGACGCGGAAGCAGTGCCGGAAAACGGGGAGGTTGCAGCGAAAGAAGAACAGCCATCAAAGGCCGTAGAGGTGATTGAGGACTTAGTGGAGAAAGCAAAGGAGTTGGTGATCGGTGGGGAGTCCACGGAGGCTGCCACCGGTAAGCTATTTTTGAGATGCATCTGGGGGAAGCCAACTGACATTGATCGCACCCTTTCGCTCATAGACGAACCGGCTGATCATCAGGAGGGCGTGGAGGAGCCTCAGGAGGAAGAAAGCAAAGCAGAGGACATCTCACCGGCTGCTCCTTCAACGAAATCGAAAAACAAGAAGAACAAGAGCAAATAGTACGGTGTACGCGCGAACATGCGTACATCAAGGTCGACATGTGTCTTGTGAAAGGCCCTGATGGTGCATTGCATATCTTATAGAGATGTCGATGGATGTTTTCTCTTAGTTTCCTTTGTATATGCTTATCGATTCAATGCGTGAACCTATGTGTTTGCTGCGGCTCGGGGCGGTTGACTTGCCTGGTCAACTGTCTGTTCGACAGGCTCATGGCGATGCTAAGTTAGTACAGTGTGGAAGTTGCAACATGAGTCAAAAGTGCATGCATCCTTTCATTGTTGTGTTCACGCAAGTGCATCCCTCTCAGCATTTCAGTACAAACATCGGCGCTACGATCCTGCTGCTAAGTCGTGTTCGGCAGCTGTGGATTACAAATGACACGGTTTCGAACGAGCTTTGTACTGATTTGTGTATACTCTGACCTTGGAGTAACAACGGTGGCCTGGTTGGGCGATCGGTAATGACGTGGCCATTTTGTGAAAATGATAATACAAGTTTACCCCTGTCTCGGATGAGTGTCGAGTGTCCTCAACAAGTTCATAAAGTTCATAGAAGATCTAGATAGCTATCTAGATACTGAGTAGCACAGGGGTCAAAATCACCCTCTTTTACACAACATACCCCAACCCCAACGTTTCTTGCTTTCACCTGACACCATGTCAATGAAACGTCTCAAGAAACGCGAGGGCCAGCTTTCCCGACACTACCCGCCTGTCTCCACAACATCATTGACACCGGGCAATTCGATCAATACCACCAACATCAACGCCGCTATACATCCCAACAACCCGATTCACGCTAGGAGAGGTTCCGTTTGGGGAAGGGGCGGTCGCCGTGGTTATCGCGGAATCGCTTCCGTATTCCGAGGCGGGGTCGTGATGAAGACTGGCAGACTGGCAACCCAATATGGAAGCCGGAGTGACAATGCTAGACGCTCCTCCGGGAATAAGGTCTGTTCCAATCATACCCTCCTCAAGAATCCCGGACGCTCCGCCAGTAGGTATGAACCGTGGAAGAAGTGGATGGCGACAAACAACACATCTACGAGGCCGTGAAAACCCTGGACAAGAATGGTCCTCTTCTAGTCACCCATGTCCGCGACCGGTCACACACTCTGCAGAAAGGTACCCACCCCCACCTCCCGTCCCTTCGGCTGTAGAGCGAAAAGCATCTCTCGAAACGGTCGATACATCGCGG